TATATATATATATATATATTATATTTTACATATATAATATATTTTAATAATTTTCCGTGTAACGGTACACAACAGGTTTTGCAAATTTGCTGTTTTGGAGGTCTGATATCCAATTTATAACTGTCTTTCGATAAACTATCAATTTCCACGTCACTACGATATAATTCATTGAAAAATTCTTCACTGTCACGTTCCACCATTTCGTTGGCATTTTTGGACTACTAAAATTACGATAAAAACCTAAATACCAAGAAAAGTATTTTCTTCATAATAAAGCGGACACGACTAAAAAAACGACGAACAAAGCTTTTGCAATATTCCATATTGCCCTGGGTTTCATAAATTCAAATAGCTAATGCAAGTGCAAACACGAGTGACCGGTCAACAATGTGTTAAAAATCAGTATAAAGTGCTTGCCAGTCTCGAGTATCAGTGTCATATTCAGAGTAGCAACGTATTAATTACGAATATCAATCGAGCAATCAAGATTTGAACATTGAATGCTATCGTGCTTTTGCGAAATTACAACACAGCTTCAATGTTTAGTGCCCGAATATTAATGGGAGACAATACTGTACTGTTGTTGGCACGTCGGCCAGTTTCGGGCTCTGCCGTTGGCCACGATAAGGACAGAGGAAATTATGAACACGGTCGAGGCACGTAGAAAACGTGGCAAACTTCTGGTCGTTCCTCCGGCTAATATCCAGCTGTTCGCCGTGTCCCTTTCCGGCGTCGGTCGAACGTTAACGGGAGCAACCCTCTCGACGTTCTGACCCAGCTGCGCTGGATCTTGGCACCCTGGCCAATCCTCCATTTCCTTTCCTCTCCCTCGCTCTCCTTCGCTCGATGACCCTCCAGGCCTATTATCGACAGATTGTTAAGGCCTGGATAACGTCGAAAGGCTCGCCTCCGACGTCTCGCGTTTTCTTTCTCTCGAAACAGGCGGAAGGAGGAGCGCGGCTGAGCGTTTAAAGCGTCACGTATCCGTAAGCGCGACGCCGTGCACGAGAAGCTAAATTTGCCAACGCGCGTGCCCTAAATCTCGCTCGAACCACACTCGCGGGGAATCCGGCTTCGTCCCGGTGTCCCCTCGAGCAGAGATTCGCTGAGAATTTCAGCCGTTTCGATCTTCGTTCGGAGATTCGCACAGTGGAGAATTGCGGTATTTTTTTTTTTTTTTTCGCGGATTCATGGAGTCACTCGGGAGGGGTAACTCGTTGGTTCGGTCGCGTGTTTCGCAACAGTGGCCTAGTCTAACCTAATCTTGGCACACCGAGTAATCCAGTCAGCGATTTCGCGCTGCGCGAGACTCGTTGTTTGCGGTTCTCTCTTGCTGGATCGACGCCGACACCCTCCCCGGAAACTTTACATTCCCGCGGAGAGAAGATTGCCGTTGTCGCTCGCCATGAATTCGAACACCACACTTTACTAGACTATCAGACTTATTATGAAATGAAGCTTAAAGTTAAAACTGTTAAATCTTTATTGTACTAACGATACAAGTTTCTGGTTATCGAAGAAGAACCAACAGAAACAATGGAATCTCTCAACACCGTGACTTTCATAAGCTAACCAGTGAACAGAAAAACTCTCGCGATTCAAAGGCCAGCTATCAACTCTTGGGAATTTGTAATCTCGTTACACGTCGACTCTCTCATCGGCGACGCACTCTTATTTGCCCAGGCCACTCGTCCATTTGTTTGTACAAATTGGAATCTCAAGATTGGAGAATCTCGAGAAAACTGATCTCGAGAGAGAGAGAGTGCGTGTGTGTGTGTGTGTGTGTGTCGCAGACTCGCTCTGCCGCGATATCTTCCACGTAACCGCATTAAATTTGACGAGATACGAAGTCGTATAACCAAGCTTCTACATTTAGAGCGGTAATATGCATAAACGGATTGTCCCACAAACTTGTAAGGGTTAAGTTTACCATGGCGGCTGATTAACCGCGAACAGAATGGCCGGTGTTAAAAGTCTCTACGTTGCTCGGCTCTGTCCTCGGTCGCCTAGTTAAACCACCGCTGCTTTACGATTATCGTAACTTGTCACCGCATGCTTAATGCGCCCGCTAATTGGCCACCGCGTATGCATACACACACACAACACATATACACGTACATATTGTACGATATTTCGTTTATTTATTCGTACGTGTACATATTTCATTTATTCGTAAGTGTTACATTTTCTAGTGAAAATTATGTTTCATTGTTAATTTATTATGTTTTAAAACTTACTGCGGATGATTCTACGTTCAAACGGGACGTTTTGAGCCGAGAAGTTCGCCAAAAATACTTTTGACGTATTATAATATTTTATTACACTTTATGTGATATTGTAATGTACGTATTTTTAAATATCATACGATAACTGAAATATTTTGCGTGATTTTTTGTTCAAATGTATTTTGCTTAAAATAATTGCTTCATATACCCAAATGACTTCTACATGTGTTACATTTTCCAGTGAAAATTATGTTCATTGTTAATTTATTATGTTTTAAAACTTACTGCGGATGATTCTACGTTCAAACGGGACGTTTTGAGCCGAGAAGTTCGCCAAAAATACTTTTGACGTATTATAATATTTTATTACACTTTATGTGATATTGTAATGTACGTATTTTTAAATATCATACGATAACTGAAATATTTTGCGTGATTTTTTGTTCAAATGTATTTTACTTAAAATAATTGTTTCATATACTCAAATGACTTCTACATACAAATATAAATTGAAAAGGAGGAATAAATTTTCTTAAATGAAGTTTCGTTCTTAAATGAAGTTTCGTTCTTGAGAAATTCGAGTTTGAAAAGAGATGTCATATTTGCATTGAATAGCGGTGATACGATCGTATAAAACACTAACACGGTTAATATGTACAAAATATAATATTTTCTATTAATAGTGTTGTCACGTATTTCCCATTAGTCTAGACATATACTCATAAATAATATTATTGCCTTTCTTCTTGTTGGAGTCATGAACGTAGAGTCAAGAATCTCGAGTCTAATGATCGATGTCTGGCTTTTTACATAAATAACAAAAAATTTACTTCGAATTTTTTTCATAAACAATGCTGTGTACTGATGAAGTGTATATGTATGTATAAACAGTGTATAATTAAATAATTTGAAGGAAACAAAACGGAAAAGTTATAACTAAATGAGTTACAATTACATACTTTTGCATTTAATCATACTTTTCACAACTTTCTCATCATTTCTCGGAAAAATAATATATATGTTTTTATGGAATGCGTGGAATCGGAGTGCTGCGAGGGAATTTTTTGAAAGAACTTAATTGAAAAAATTCAATCAAACATCGAAAATTCTTCGTACTCACGTTTTGTGATGAAATAAAATTTATTTCAAAATACTTTTTCATCAGGAAGCGCTAAAAACGTGAAAGAATTTTTGTCTATCTTTCACCGAGAGATCCCGTATGATACATTTCGTCAGTAAAAAATCACCAAAGTAGGATTGTGTGATAAAAGTTAATAAAAAATAAAGAAAAGATCAAAAAAACACTCGAAGATCAATATCAGATTCAGTTTACGAATTTCACGTAAATTCATTGCCACCTGGTATAACCAATCTTCAACCGTTCACAACTCTAAAACGCTCCAATTACATACGTCAAGCAAGTTTTAATCTCGAGAAGAGAAAAGAAAGAAGAAAAGAAAAGCTCGATATGTGAAGAAGAAAAGCGAGAAAGGTTTGAAAATAATGAGTTTTTTTATAATGCAAAAATCAAGATTCCATTTCATCCGTAATTTGTGTTTGAATGTATAATTTTCGTAAACAAATATTCAATATTTCATTACTTGAAAAAAATACGGTTTTTTAAATATTAAATATATTGTAAACAAAAACTTAAAAAAACCTTATGCTTTAACTTTTAAACTTATTTAAAATGTGTTCCGCACCCCCAACTTTGAGGGTAGTTGTCGCCCCTTCAACATCGACGATTGCCGATAAGAAAAAAAAAAAAAAAAATACGTGTCAAATATTTTTTCGAAAATTATATTTATGCCGAATTTCATCAAAGTCGATGATTCACACTTCGATACGTTCCCCTGATAGTATAATCCGTTTTCACGCGAATAATTAACGAGAACGTGGACTTGGCAGAAACTGCGTGGCAGCGCGACAAGAGACAGTCGGGAGCGGTCTTTAGGCGTCAAGACGTGCGAATCTATTTCTAGCCGGCAGGCACGCACCTCTCGAATCCTCGATGTTCGACCAGCTTCTTCCGCGTTTGCCGCGCGAGAACAGCCTCGTCCGTCCAGCTTCTGGCTGTCTGTTCGTTCGCAAGTCCGAAGTGGACGACACGCGCAGGAAGGTTTCCGTTTTACGCACGCACGCACACGCAATACTCGCAGATTCGACAGGCTGAATGCGCTACCGGACGGTGTGAAGCGAAATGAGAGAAGATAGAGAGCACTAAGGAGAAGGAGAAGAGGGTGAAAATGAAACGAAGATTAAGAGCTTGGAGAGTTTTCTTTCTGGTAACTATTCCGCTCTTTTGCTTTAACCGATGGCGAGGCTGCCTCGAACCGAAGTATAAAATGTGTATCAAAGAAATCGGTGACAAAGGGAGAGAAATCTTTGCCCATCGTCGAAAATCGGCGAAGATCGCGATTGAGAATTCATCATCATTTCTTTCCACAAAACATTCCTTTCCTCGCAAAGAGCCTCGCACAGCAAGCGTGAGAAACTGTACAATAAAAAAAACAACTAATAATTTACAAATTGAAAAAAAGAGTAGCAAGAGCGAGAGGGATAAATCGAGGTGTAACGTGTTATCGAAAGCAGATGCTGAGAAGACGAGAAGGAAAAAGCGGAGAAGTCGCAGTGGACGATAGAAAGAGGAAGAAACTCGCCTGCAAGGGGATGAATAGGAGGGAGACAGTGTACGTAATGCAGGGGGTGGTCTCTCTCTCTCTCTCTCTCTCATTCTTGTTGTATCTCCGTCTGGCGTTCTAGCTGCATCCTTTCTCCTCCCGGTAATATGTGTCGGTGGGTCGATCGGTATCTGGGTCGCGGGTTTTGGCAGTGCGAGCCCAAACCACCCCTCTTTTCGTTCGCGATCATCCCTCCACTCTTGAGGACGCGCCACTCTCGCCGCTAGTACTGCCAGTTGCGGATTTACGCAGAGTTTCATTTCGCTTCTTCGCCGCTCCCGCTGCCGCGCACCACCGGCCCGGATCGATTAATCTCGGTAAACAATCGAGCCCCGACCGGAATCGACGAGCTCGCCAGGCTCGATTTCAGCTGGATTAGCGAGCCTGCTTCTGCGAGCACGCGGTCTCGAACAGCTTCGAGATTCGATTCGAACGCTGCGCGCCGCGCCACGAGTGCTGATTTTCCAAGTTGTTTATAGGGGCTCAACGCCGCTAACTCGATGAAAGTTATCACCAGGGGTGATTGGGAAGTTCCGTCGAGGAAATTTGGATCGTTTGGTGGGCTTGCGAGGTTTTATTTTCTGGGTACAATGAATTGCAATGGCGGCGGCTTGTGGCGTGAAATCACAACTTTCGAAGTATATTATACACACACACTGTGAATACAGCGGATTTTTTGTTGTTTCTTGTGCAATACGGGATTGTTGACGATAAAGTTAAACATCACGAGCGAATATAAATAAATTGATAAATATGTCTGTATATACCGAGAAAAATTGGGGGTGCTGCAGTCCTATAGTGTCTCTGCAATTTTGGTAGCCATTGCAAACTGTTAAAACATAACCTATAAGAAAAAAGTGTATAGAATGGTATTGTCGAAAATTCGATCGATGATCAGGGATCGAAAA